CAGGATGGACGGAGAAGTGGTGCCTCGGTGCGCGCCCGGGATCCGAACCCGGGCCACCAGCATCGGAGCGCGCGCACTTAACCACCAAGCCACGGGTCCGGCCCCTACAGTCAAATTATAGTCCTTTCCCACCCACCTCTAACGCCCTAGTCAAAAACAACAAAAACAAAAACCTAGTCTGTTCTACGCTGGCTACCTTGGAAATTGAGAATGCTTTTAACTCTTCCTTGGAATTCTTTTGCTTCCTGCAGAATCCTGCATATAATTTGAGTTCCATTGTTATGGTTTAAAGGAACTGAAAGAAACTGTGAGAACCAGGAATGGTTCGATTACATAATTCCAGTTTAATTAACATTATTTTGGTTACTGCCTTTGGCCTCTGGCTAACATAACTGGTAAATGGCGTCTTCAAGGAAACAATAACAGAGCAATGCTTTCATTTTGTACGTGAATTTTCAGTTCTCCTTAATAGTTGCTCTGCCCCCTCCCCCCTGCCAGCCTTACCCAGTTAATTTTGAGCAACAGTATTTTTCTGCTCCATTACCCCTTCCATCCTGCCTCTCAAGTGTAATTAAACTATGCGTTTTAGCAGATAGATTGTACCTGTAAAAGCACCAGAACCACAAAAGTACTACCTGGGGACTAGCTGATGGCAAGCATTCTTTTTTTCTTACAAAAATTATTTCATATCATATTCTGAGAGTTGAAGTTTGAGATGGCAAACATTTCTTTCTCAGTCACTCCCTTGGATAAGCCAATAAGAGCAAGTAAACTCTTAAAAGCAAGTAAAACCTTACTCTTCAAAGGTCTGGAGTCTTTGTGTAATTAAGAATTTTGTATCAATACTCACTTTGTTTTTTCCCAGAGATATGAGGTAATCTTCTGATCATCTGAGCTTCTGCTGCCATCCAGGGTTGTGCTGTCCACGGGAAGGGTCAGCTCTTTATCTGGACCTGCATCTGCCTGAGGAGGCTTGTTGTTTTCTAGAAGACAGAGACTTGGAGGTCAAAAGCAGGCAGCCCAGCTGGGAAAGGAAAGGAACCAACTGGAACATAGGTTCTGGAAGCCATGAGGATTCTGCCTCTGCCCACAGAACTGTCAGATACTGTGGGAGATATGGGGACAGTCAGGGAGCTCACAATGAAGGATATAAGACTGAAACATATAAAACAATTCTGAAAGAACATGGCAGAACACAATGAAGTTATAATGCCATGCTAATTTGAAATATAATGCTACGGGAGTTCAAATAAAAGGGTTTGAGTGATAAAGTAGGGCTTGCTTGAGGAAGTGGGCTTTAAGCTGGCCCTTAAATTAGGACATGGTAGGATTTGGGATGGCAGAGCCTCTAACTGCTAGGTCCCCTCAAAGGAACAATAACCAGCCAAGGGCAAAGGCACAAGCTGAGGCTGTGAAGTACTCTGTCTCTCTAGGTGTGCAGAAAGCACTAGGGGAATGGACAACAGAAATTGCCAGGGGCTTCGTGGACTAGTGCCTACTGTCGATATAGCTCAACACCCAAACCCTCCTCTCCCCCAAGGTTAAAAGGACCAGCCAATAGAAGCGCCTACACCAGAAGGCTGGAACTTACCAGGCTGCACAATAACAGTCACTTGAGCGGTGGCCTCTTGTCCTATTGTGTCAGTCACTTTGAGCTCGTAGGTGTAGTCTCCGGCTTGCATGGCAGAGAGCTGCAGGGTTGGTGTTCTAACACCCTGAATATATAAAAACAGACACGTGGAAAAGCAGACGCCCATAATCACAACATCATACAGTAAGTCCTACTCTAGTAGAAATGATTTATCCAGTTTCCTAAACCCAAGCTGGTGTTGGGCTATTACCTCCCAGTTCAGCATACTTAGTGAATGCTGACTCACCCCTGTGGGACATCTTGCAAAGTTTTTCCCTTCAAGGAAACAACCCTCCCTGACACAGCAGCAGTTTCAAATAAAGTCAGAGCTCTCACAAGGGAGGGGAGAACGGGAAAATGTGCAGAGATAACCGAAATCAGTCTCTATGACCCAAGCCGGAAAGAAGACCATGAACATAAAATAAAATAACACAATTTTAAAAGCAGTGTTCTTCCTACTAAGGCCACACAGTGATCCTAATAAAGCTACCTCAATAAAATACAACTTTTATTTGTAAATAAATAAATGGCAGCAATTCAAGATGCTAAGTAATGCCATGCTGTCCTCTTACAGGTCTGTACAGATTCTGCAACGGCAGAGAAACCTAATAAAATACTTAAAGTAAAGCCAGGTGAAATGTGAGCTTTACATGATGCCTCCAGTCTGGAAACATAGACTCTTGAGTGTCAGAAGGAATCTTATAAATCATTTAGGGCAAACTTCTAATGTAGGAACTTCCTCTAGGACAGTGGGCAAAAACTGGCAGTCTCTGACTGGGCTGAGTCCAGCTTACAAACATTTTGTTTGGCCTATAGTGTCTTAAAAGTTGGAAAATTTCAGATAAAGGTCTAGATTTCTGTATTCTCTTGAAAACCTAGATGATCAAACAATATTGGGACCATACTTCCATGTGGCAACAACTAGCTGGACCTGAGGAGCAGCTGACCCCTTCGGTCAGGGATTAAGTTGTCCAGTTTGCCAGAGCCCCCATCCAGTTTTCTTTATTTACATATGTTACCGGCCTGGTGACAAATCTAGTCTCTTCTTAAATATCTCCACAGAGAAGAAGCTCACCCTCTAGTCAGGCAATCTACTCCAATTTGGAATACAGTCCACTAAGATCTGCACCCTTGTAGCTTCTAAATAGTTTGACTCTCTGGAATTATGTAGAAGAACTACCATCTCTTACCTAGCCTTTTCCTCTAATACTAAACATTTAAGACAAAGGTTCTTGTTAATGTGTTAAAGGCCCCTTAAACTTTCTGGATTTTTAAAAAAATTTAAATATTTTGTGCACAAATATGACTTTGGTAATTAAAATGGAGCAAAAATAGGCCTTGGATGGGCGACCTAGTCCAGCAGCTTTAAGCCCCCTGGGCAAGAAAAGACAGCAACTACTCTCTCCTACCTGCATCTCCACCACTTTCCCTTTGCTGCGCGGGCTGAGTGACCACTCATAGCTGGTGATGCCATGGTCATCAGTGCTCTGGTTCCCAAAGAGGGTGATGGAGTTTTGGGGCAGGGTGATCACTTGGTTGGGGCCTGCATTGGCCACGGGGGGGTAATCCACGGCTTTGTTCACTGTCAGGCTTGCAGTGGTGGAGTTGGTGGCTCCATCCGAGTCTACGACAGTCAAGCTATCAGGGCAGAGAGAGTTGTGCAATCAGAGATGGGCTTAAGGAAAGAGGAATACACACAAGAGGACTGAAAATCAAGGCTGAGAAATACCAAGGTAGCAGGGTTACCTACTGGTAACCAATTCTTACCCATTCCTCCTGGCAGTCATACTAGAAGCTAACACTGACTGAGGGTTTACTGTGTGCCAGGCACTGTTCCAAGCACTTTACATATCATTAAATCCTCACAACAGCTCTGTAAAGTACCGTCCTCATTTTACTCCTTACCTATATGAGGAGACTGAGGCAGAGAGAGGTAAAGTAACTTGCCCAAAGTCACACAGCTTGAAAGTAGTAAAGACAGGATCTGAATCCAGGCAATACATCTCCAGCACCATTTTTCTCTGCTGCCTGCATGTGTCTGTGTGCTGGGACCTTTACAAGCAGTATCTGACATGGCCCTCACAACAATCATAGAGAGTAGCTGTCATTGATCTCACTTTACAGGAGGCTTGGAGGGGCTAAATAACCTGCCCAGGGCTACATAGTGAGCTAAGATGCAAGCCCAGTTCTCTGAGTCCAAAGACCAGAAACCAAGTCTCAAGACAAGAGCATACCTGGCGCTTATTCCCGTGGGGTTCAAGGATGCTATGCTAAATAGAGCAAGCTTGGTCTGCAGCAGGCTCTCCACCATCATCCTGTTTTGGCTGTGTACATATCACAAGAACGGACATCCTAGGCAGACAGCCTCTAGGATGGACCAGGAGGGCTGGCTCTGGTAAGACAGGAGCCTGAGATGGAAATGAATTCTCCTACGCAACAGTCCCACAGTTTGTGCCAGTGTGAAATAGGATTTGCAAGAGAAAAAAATGTTCATTTATAAGAGCAGGCTTTTACCTAAATGATGCTTTCCAGCTGAACAGCCTAAAGCTTCTCTTGCCACCTCAAAATGTGAGCATAAGCAAGCAAGGAGGTTTGGGCTCCTTCCATTTTGCTGACAGAAAGAGGAAAAGCATAGAAAAGACATGTCGTTTGTTTAAATCTCACCACCAGCCACAGACAGAGCCAGACATCTGTGGGGTTTTATTCCACAATCTCACCTTTTGCCGATGGTCTGAAGGGGATTTTTGGTATTAGTCTTTAGAAAAAGTGCACAAAAACATCAGACCTGCAAATCAGCAAACATCTAAAAAGAAAAATCCAAGTTCTCTTTTTCCAGTTTCCTTGTTGTTTTCAGTTTTTTGTTTTTTTAACATACCCTATTTATCTCCTATTTCAGAACAAAACTAAGTTATAGACAAATGGCAGCTGCCCATTCCTCTAACTTTCACCTCGAGCAGTCCCTGGCTTATATGCAAGGATCCTGGAAGGAAAGAGCAGCTGCCTACGGGGCTGGAGAAAGAGGCTACTGCCATGTAAAAGCAGGGAAGAGCAAAAGCTGAGTGGAATCATACCAGATTGGACCTTAATCTTAATCAAACCCAATCCCATCATTTCACAGATTGATACTTAGAGAAAAAGAATCACTCCCAATACCACCCAAAATGGTATAGGCTAACATGGTGGTTAAAAGTTCAGACTATGGAGTCAAACTGCCTGTGTGACCTTGGGCAAGTTACTTAACTTCTCTGTGCCTAAATTTCCTAGTCTGTAAAATAAGAACAATTACAATACCTCTTATAAGGATTAAATGAGATTCTGCATGCAAAGAGCTTATAACAGTACTAAACACATAGTAAATGTTTAAGAAACAGTTTACTATTTTTAAAATGGATTGACCTGGCTCAGGCTAACTTCCATTAATGTTAAAATTCCTATATTAGAAATCCATTTTAAGCCAATGAGAGGGCTCCAATCTTGTACTGGCAGCTATCTTTCGTTCACCTGAAGTCTTGAGTCAATGGGAGTGCTGCTAGGTCAGAACTTTCATATTTATTATTATGGTAGACCCTGTGCTAGGACACTCATTGCTATGTCTCTGGTAGTATCTACAACTTGATCATTCTCTGATCTAGTGGGGAAGACGGATGCCCAGGAATAAGCAGTTGCACCACAGTAGGTGCCACATAGATGCACTGAGTGCAACAAGGAAAGAGGAGAGACATATTCTCTCCTCCCTGGAGGATCTCAGAAAGCCTCGCAGAAAACTGAGCAGGTCCTTAAGAATGGGCAGAACTCGAACAGATTGAGAAGGGCATTCAAGGAAGCATAAACAAAATATGTACGGGTCAAGTCAAGGAGTCAAGGAGTGGAGTCGAATGAGCCCTGACTTGGGGGTTAGAAAATCTGCATTTCAGTTCTAGCTGTGTGACCTCAGAGAAGTTAGTAAATAGACTAGGACTCATTTTTCTCAGATGTAAAATGAAGACAGTATCATGCACATATGACACTCATGTACACGCGCTTTGTAACATACAAGGAATTATACAAATATAAGGAGTATTGCTCTAAAGTCAGCCTCACACTCTCATTAATCACATTCTAGAATGTCAACACTAGTTCCCAAAAGGACTTTCTTTCAATCAAATTCTCCAAAAATCTCCAATAGAGAAAGATTCTACAAATCATATTCAAATAAACCACTAGTCAAAAGTAAAGATTTTGAGATATAAATTGAGGAAGCATTCCCCAAAGGGAAGAGACAAGATGGGAATAGATTCCTTCCAGATTTTGGCTGAGAAAAGACAAAGGAAGATAGGTCCTTTCACTTAATGACAGAAATCCTAAAAACATTTTCGAGATCTGCTAGGTAAGGCTTTGAGAAGGAATAACTGTGGTCGATCCTGATCCACTAAGCAAGGACCTCTGCCTTAAGATGTTATCATTGTTATGACCATAATCACCATAAGGCTCAGAGAACCAATGGAACCACAGGCTATGTTATCAACCAACTCTTATCTGTCAGAGTTACTCCTTTAAGAATGTAAAACCCACAAGAGAAAAAAAAAACAGCCTACAGTAAACGTGAAGCTGCATCCTAATTTACCTGAAAGTGTAGTTCCCAGGGACGAGCTTACTTAGTTTTAATATGGCCGTATCTTCAGAAATCTTCTCTTCTCTCAGAGGCCCCTTAAGTTCTTCCCAATGGTACTGGACGATTTTATCATCATCAGTGCTTTCTTGACCGCAAAGAAACATCAGTTACAACACGAGAGCACTGGATCTCAGCACTTATCCAGTTTACACAAACCAGGGCAACTACCCAGAGATTTGAAGCCAGGAAAACATCATGAAATTACAGACTATCCTCCAGAGTATTTCTTTCCTAGGAATATTGGGTCATTCTGCCTCTCTATGAATATTCCACTGTGTAGTTTTCCAAGGACTCCAACACAGTCAACCTCTGGTTAAAATGCTACTGTATAAAAAAAGGAAAATCAAAAATTCTTAAACATGTGAACAGATTCTCAACCTCACTTAAAATAAAAGAAACGCAAATTAAAATTACACTTGAGAAACCATTTTTTAACCTATGAGATTGGTAAAGACCAAAGTTTCATAACACATTATATGGTAAAGAAAGAAACAGGCTCTCTCATAAGTCATGGTGGACGTGTAAACTGATACAACCTCTAGAAAGAGAAATTTGGTAAAATTTATCTTTGCCCCTGAAATTCCTCTTCTAGGAATTTATCCTACAGATATACTTGCAAGTGTGTTAAATGTCATGCTTACAAGATCATTCGTGGTAACATCATTTGTAAGAGAAAAAGATCAAAAATAATATAAATGGTCATCAACAGAGATTGACTGAAAACAAGTATATATTGATACAATGAAATTATGCATCCATATAATAGAAGGCCATGAAATCATTAAAAGAAAAAAGAATGAAGTACTTCATGTATTAATTCAGAAAAATTCTCCAACACATAGAAACAAGCATTGTACATAACAGTGTACAATGATGTGTTTTATGATGTGTTATCATAAAGCCTGTATATGTATTTTATTATATATGCATAAAATATCTCTGGAAAGATACATAAAATAATACCATTGATTGTCTGGAGGAAAACTAGATAGTTGGCAGACAGGGATGGCAGTGATTCTTTTCACTGTATACCTTTATACATTATTTAGCTTTGACCTATTCAAAAATACGAAATAAAATGGCACTATGTGAACCCTTTCTAGCACTCTCACAAGCGCTGCTTCCTGTTCTGTGTCTTTTCTCTTGGCTTGCTATTCTTCTAGCCTCCTCTTCTTACCAGATCCCTCTACACAAAATATTTAACCTTGCTAGAGAGTCCTCTGCTAAAGCAGTGACTGCCTCTGCCAAAAACCACTGTTGGTGCCAAGACAGTCAGTGTAACAGGGCCTTCATGGGTCTCAAAAGAAACCAAGCAAATACTGGTGAGATGACAGGCCTGAAACCTCCTGCATACACATAGCCAGGATCAATGGCAAAGACTCAGAAATCCTCTCATGTCACCCAGGTGACATTATCCTGAAGGGTAAGATGTTAATGAGCCCAGGCAGGGGTGTGGGTCTGTGAGTCTCTCCAGGAGAAGGCTGACAAGAATCTTGTTAGACAGCGATGCCCGGGTGAGAGCTCCTCAGTCAAGACTCTCAGTTACTTATCTTGCTATGATAGAAAGAACTTTGTTTCCATAACTGGGAATGGCAACTCCATCTAAGCAAATTTGAAAACCAACAAATTTCAACTAAAATAATGCTAAATACATGCATAATCCCACTTTCTTACCACCTCAGAGCAGAAATATTACTTCAAACAAGCCACATGGGGATTTTAAAGAGGGCCTGTCTGGTTTTTACTTCCTAATCAGCTGCTTCCGATGGTTGGTTTTCCTATAACATGGTCAAGAAGACTGCCCTAAACAGAATGCAGACATAGCTAGCTCCAAATCTTCCACGAGTTTTTACCAGAGTACACAGTGAATGCTCTTCTAGAACATCACGCCTAGACAAGTACTCACGGCTGCCATCAATGACTGTAGAAGTGGTTGGCAGAGAGATCTCCTGGAACTGTGGTGACACAATGGCAACAGGAGGCCGATTCTTACGGGGCTCTGTAGGAAAATGACCCAGAAGAAATTGGAAGAGGGGCTTTAAAATTGTAGGAGGAGCAGGCCCATCTTGGGGGGATTATAAAACAGCTTCTATTACATAAATGATTGTTGAAGCATAGCCAAACGGGAAAGTCACAAGACCAGGTTGCCATTCTAACACAAGAGTGTTTAAAGCCTCTTCCAAACCTGACTATTCCTAAGACCATGCCTGTGCATTCTTTCAACGCTCATGTGCTATCTAGTTTATGAAAAGCACTAGAGCTGCAAGTGACTGCTTTCAGGCAAGCTGATTAGAGGTTGACAACAAATAAGCTTTGCGCAATGAAGGCCTTGGCAAGCAAACCATCCCTTGGCACAGACTGTGCTGAAAAGATAATAGGTGATTTCTCAGCCATCCCCCAGCTGACTGTGTGTGAGGCGACTAGGCCTGAGTGATGGGAAGCCACAAACCACTCTGGTCCACCCAAATGACAGTGAGCTACAAACCCAGCAGCCTTTTCTTTGAGTAATGATCAAATGGTCTTTACGCTAAACACATTTTTAAGAAGGTGAAGAGATTATCTTGGCTACAAAGTTCAAGGAATGAAAAGAAAATCTATTACCAACAAAGACAGAAAACAGTATTAAGAATTTGTGCCAATGTATGCTCCACTTTCCAACTTACCTCACCTCCTTCGAAAATACAAAACAAGATACCTTGCTATTGCGCTATAATCTACCAATGATGGATCACTTAAAAGAATGCCTCAATTTGATTTCCAAGGTGAAAGAGGACTGGTGGGGTTTAAATGAGGAATTCTGTGTGCAAAGACCCACATTTCTGGAAAGAGATCAGAAAAGGCAGCCACTTGGCTGGTTTTCCTTTTACATGCTTCTCCTAGGCTTTCTTGTGTCTCTTAATTACAACACATGGTCCTCTCTCAGCATGAGCCACTTGGAGAAGTAGTTTTCAGGTAGATAGACTATTGCTCAGGCCATACTGCACTATGGGCCATGTGACTAATGTTTCCCTGCCCAGCCAAATGTTCCAACTAGAACTAAAGTATATACTTTGGGGGCCAGCCCCATGGCTTAGCGGTTAGGTGCACGCACTCCGCTGCTGGCGGCCCGGGTTAGGATCCCAGGCGCGTACCGACGCACCGCTTCTCCTGCCATGCTGAGGCCGCGTCCCACATACAGCAACTGGAAGGATGTGCAGCTATGACATACAACTATCTACTGGGGCTTTGGGGGGAAAATAAATAAATAAATAAAATTATTAAAAAAAAAATAAAGTATATACTTTGCCACTCTAACCTTTTACTACATTGAACTAGGAATTGCCCAATAAATATATTACAAAAAAAGAATGGGAATTAAAAACCCCCCAAGTCAAATCTCCATCTCCTAGGGAATTCTGCTGAGGGAGCAACAGAGACACAGCCACGACTGAGAGAGACATACCTGGTTTTACCGTCACGTTCACATAGCCTTCCCCATGGGCATTTTGACCATCTACAATCACTTTGAATTCATACAGGCCTGGAGTGAGCTGCACAAGTGAGAGAAGATCTTTTAGATCGTCACAAAGAGCAGTGATTATATTTAAAATAACATATATATCTGAACTTTCCTATGTTGATTCTTGCACTCTCCTCTTCCTGTGCTGTTTCCAAAATGGAGAAAGTAAACTAGCTGAAGAGATGAAACAATGAATTAGAAACGGAAAAAAACATAGCTTTTAATGTGAATCTTATTACTAGCTGACTCTAGAACAACAGAAGGGATTTCAATATCTCTGTACTCCCATTTTCTTTTCAGAAGAACTATTAAGGGCCCAAACATCCAACTTCACAGAGTTATGAAATTAAAACAATCATCTCTGCAAAGAAAAACATTTTGTAAAAATACCAAATAGCTCCCAAATATCTGAATATTTTTCCCTCTCGATTTCCACTAACTGTATAAACAAAATATGAAAGAAAAAAAATTACCCACAATCCCACTGTCCTAACACATCAATTAATCATATTTCTCTTATTTCCTTCTAATCCTTGACCACACACAAAAAATAGTTTTAGAGCCAGCTCCAACGGCCTAGTGGTTAAAGTTCAGCGTGCTCTGCTTCGGCAGCCTGGGTTTGGTTCCCAGGCGCGGAACCATACCACTCATCTGTTAGTGGCTATGCTGTCGTGGTGGCTCACATTAAAAAAAAAAGAAAAAAAGAGGAAGATTGGGAACAGATATTAGCTCAGGGCGAATCTTCCTCAGGGAAAAAAAAAAGTAGTTTTAAACAGTTTATTTGTTCAACAAACATTTATTGAGAACCAAGTATGTACCAGTCATTGTCCTAGGCGTGGGGTTTGGAGATGAATAAGATAAGATCCCTAACTTCAAGATAACCTTGTATTTCAATGGTATTCAGAGTCCAGCTAAAATCAAGGTATATATCAAACTTTTTATTGTTCTCTTTTCCATTCATTTAGCGTGAACACTTTCCCCATTATAATAGTCTTTTTAATAGTCATTTTAATGGCTGCAGAATAGTACATGAATAAATATGCCATAATTCACATAAGCATTCCACATTGCTGGGTATTTGGGTTGTTTCCAAATTTTTACTATTATAACTAATACTGTGATGAACATCTTTCAGGCAAATGGGTTTTTTTCTTTCTGTTGAATTATCTTCTTTGGGTAAATGCTAACTGACCCCATGTAGTGTTTTTGACTATTTCCTTCTTCCTACAATGCTCTCCTTCCCTGGATTTCACTTCTCTGCCCACTCCTCATTTCCTTCAGTTTCCTCTCCCTTTCATATCTTTAATGACAGTGTTCCCCAGGATTCCAATGGCAACCCGTTTATTTCTTCACTCTACACGTGCTCTCTGCATGATCTCATCTGTTACCATGGTTTCAACTGTCATCTATTTGAGGCTGATGTGCTCATTTACCGCTCTAGCCCAGACTTGTATACTGATCTCTAGCCCCTCACCCCCAGCTACTTACTGGCCACCTCTACTCAAATATTTCACAGGTACCTCAAACTCACTCTGTCCAGAAATGAATTAACCATCTGCAAACCTCCCCCAAACCTGCTCCTTTTTCTGTGCTCCTCATTTCAGTGAATGTCACCACAATCACATCAAAATCCACGCAGGTGCCTAAGCCAAAGGCTAGAATTATCCTAGACTTCTCTTCCCTAACATCTCCACCCAATTAATTGATCACCAAGTCTTATCAAGTCAACCTCCATTATATTTCTCAAATCCAGTCACTTCTCTCCATTCACACTGCCATCACCTTAGTTTTTAACCATTCATCATGGGATAGTCATTAAAAGCATGAGCATTAGAGACAGAAAGTTCCAGTTCAAATCTCCTATTTAATAGCTTTGTTAACTTTTGCCAAACCATTTTATTTTTCCAATTTTTAGTTTTGTCATTTTTAAAACAGATATTAGTATCTACATCTTGGAGTTGTTATAAAGATTAAATGAAATAATTGCATAAAACAATTAGCACTGTGTCTGGCACATGGTATGAGCTCAATAGGTGGTTTTTAAGTTTTATTTTTTTAGTTTTTTTACTCAGGCTATTATCATCTCACACCTACATTTTTCAACAGATTCTTCACTGGTCTGCAGTCAGGGTGATCCTTCTAAACTGAAAATCTGAACACGTCTTTCTCCTGCTTAAAACCTTTCAAAGCTTCTATATTCTCTCTGCATAAGATTCAAAGTCCTTACTCTGGCATATAAGGCTCTGTGCAATCTGGCCCCTGCATCTCTCCAACTTACTTGTGCTACTGCTCTTCTCATACCATAGGGTCCAGTCAGGCTGAACCACATATAATTCCCTTTTTCCTACATTTTCTTTCTAATATTTGGCCCAGTGGACATATTACTTCCTCTGCTTGGGGTATTATCGCTCCATTCTTTACCCAGTAAATTAGTCATGTTTCATGACCCAATTAGGCAAACTCTAAGAAATCTACTCTAACTCCCCAGGGCTTCAAGACCCCTTGCGTATCCCCTCTTATAATTATCTGCTTCCGGTCAGTGTGACCTATTAGACTCTATTGTCCTTCAATGTTAGGATTATGATCAATTCACTGGTAAATCCCCAATTCCTGCCACATAACTAGTATACAATGAACTGCTGCTGAAAGAATGAACGAATGAATGAATGAATGAGATTGCTTGGCCAAAGAACATGAACGTTTTTATGGCTCTTAATAACTATACTGAATCCCAAAAAAGACTGAGCCAATTTACACAATCATGTGGCCACAAATAACCAACTTATCTCCCAAATTCTAAAATCCTTATGTTACCCTTAAAAGCTGTTTAGTGTATATTTTCAGCTATGACCACCACGCTTATACAGTCTTCTCAACATAAATGAAAATTTGAGAATCATACACTAACAAACACTGGATGTCAGCCAGTCAGACTTTTGGAGGATTCAGTTCTGAAAGATTATTCCCGACTTAAGTGTGGACAGAAAATCCAATAGTATACATTTTGAAAAATGGTCAACACCTCTCCCCCAGCCCTGCAAATGACAGGAGGCAAATTCACCTTGGATAGTTTGAGGATCTGGGAATGTTTCCCTTCCACTTCTCCACTGTAGTCTTTAGGATGAGTAATCAGCTGCCACTCATAGGTGTAGGTTTCTCCTATAGAAGGGCCGTTATAGAAATCATCAAAACACACACCTACACACAAAGAGGGCAGCCATACAGCCTGCCAATAACAAACCTGTTCTAATTCTTGACAAGGCCTTAGTTTTTAAGATTTCACCCCAAAGCCTCTAGGGAAACCAAACATTCTGTTCAAAAGGTGGATTCCGCTGACTCAGCTACAGTCAGGGTTTCTTCCACTCTCTCCCAGCAATGCTCATTCCTGCCCCATACCCACCCTCCTCAGGGCCAATCCTCCCTCAAAATACCAGGTTGCTCATGATGTGGCATCCCGGTGAAAATACATGCCCTACCAACCACTATAGATGAACTCATTGGGAACAAACGCCATTTTCTTGCAAAACTTCTTTTGCAACACAGCACAGCAATGACTTCTAAATAACATGGTTCAAAAATAGCTTTTTACAGAGTGCTAACAATGCTCGTCTCACTGAGGTCATCACACCCTGGTGAGTTACAAGAGCTACTTCATTCCTACTGAGCTAAATAACACACTGCAGAAGATGGTAGGGGATGGCCCATTTAAAACAGGCCCCACTGAAATTAATTAAGATCAAATGAAGCATTAAATGGTCCTCATTTGTAGCTTAGACTATATGACTGGGTAGGGCAAGGATAGAATCCTTTATCTAAAGGGAATCTCTCCCCAGCAAAAGTGGTCTTAAATTTTTTGGAACAAAATGCATTTCTGGCTAGGGAAGGGTGGGATTTGGTAGGAAGGTTTAGTTTAAGTTACCACCCAAAAGGAAAAAAGAGAAACCCCAAATGTTTAGAAGAGAATGTCATCTTTTTCTTATTTCATGAGTTCAAAAGTTACAGTTCACACATAGAACCTAATTCCTAGATAGCCTTCATCTTAAGACCAGATTTTATTTCATAAGCCTAAGATACAAGATCTATTACTCTTCCTTCCTCCCCAAAATACTAGTTTTGTTTTGGCCAGCTGTCAGCCCCAGGCAGCTCTCCCAAATGTATACGTGGAAGTTAGGTTAGGTGATGAGCAGGAAAGAAGCAGCAGAAGGAGGACTGGTGCTAAAAGATGACATTTCTTCCAACTATAGTTGGAAATTTTTTTTTCCATACAGAAAACAGACTCACACTAGTTTGGAAACTGATCATTTTATAATATCTAAGGCTAGCAACACAAATTTCAAAAAAGGACAATATTCCTAGGACAGAAAAGCTCAGGGGATGAACTACGCCTTACAGCCAGAAATTTGCCCAAGGGTAGGAACAACTGAGTATAGGTCTGTTAGACAGAATGCTAGTTTTATGATTTAGGGCAGTGGTTTTCAAACTCTGCCTCTGAACCCGAGAGGGATCCTGAGAGCTGCCACAGGAGATGAGGGGGATAGAGAGCAGGTAGAGCTGGTCCTGCCTCATCATCCCCTACCTTTGAAAGTTTGAAACTATCCATCTCATGTACCTGATAAGGGCTGAAGAACTTGGGAACAGGAGAGTTGAAGAGAATCTGTTTCTCAACTCATGTGTTTTGAAATACTGATCTACAAAGTGATATTAACTCACAGAAATACACATGCAGATAGGGGTTAGGAAGGAAAACACAGTACAGCCCAGCATATCTTTCACAAAAGAGTTGAAGCAATCACAGCTCAAGGCAGTTCTTTCCTCACCTCCATCTTCAAAGGCCAACAAATCCGTTCACTTTAACTTACTACCAGAGGAGGAAAGGAAAAAGCATCTCTATAGAGGAAGGTGGAATGAACTGACAAGGAAACCTCAATTTGAGGGCAGAAATATAGAACAGAGAGAACATTTCAGTTCTGGAAAAGTACTTTTTGCATAAATACACTATTTGGTATTACACCCAGAAATTAGGAATATTGTATTGGAAATGTGTGTACCTAAAATGGAAGGACTCCATCCTGAATAGAGTATGGCATTCTATTTGTCTAACCTTATAACAAGAGTAACATAAACCCAATGCAATTATTTTGCATCAAAGTATGCTTCACTTCATGTCATAGATAGTCTTAAGATATTATACCTATGTGTTTATAAGTCAAACTTTGGTATATTAACATATACTTCAAAGGTGAAAGGGATGCTCATATTACAAAAGTTTTCTTAAATAATAAATTAATCATTCCCTAATTTATATATTTTATAAATATGAATTTTGTATATCACACTGGGATTGTCTTTTTTTTTAAGTTTCAAATCTATATTCAATTGAATATAATAACTTCTCTCCAAGTTTTGCATCTGCTGTTTACTAGTTGTTTGGCCAAAATAAACAGACTAACCTGAGTCTCACTCAGTGTCTTCCCCTTTTAAATGGGTATAATACAACCTACATTTAATGAGCATCAGCTATATGCTAGGCACCAAAGTAGGTGCCTTATATACCATTTCATTTTGCTCTTAAAGTAATCTTATGAAGTAGGAATTATTATCCTCATTTTACTGAGAAAGAAATGGAAACTCAGAGAAGTTAAATAATTTGCTTAAAATCATTCAGCTAATGACTGGCTGAGCTGGGATTTGAATCCAGGCTTGACATCAAAAGTCTATGATCTCAAACATTATATTGCCTCTCGTATCACATAAATATTTGTGCATATGCAAGCTATATCCTAGTCTCAAAGGACTGTTGCAATGAGTAAATGAGTTAAGGTATGTAGATATCATTATAAACTAAAACATTAATTATCCAAATGTAAGGGAATGTTTTACCTTCAAGTGGTTCTGGGAGAACATATGCATTTAATTGAACTTCATTCTTAGGCAGGGTCATCTGGACACTATCTCCAGCAGATACCACCAGTTCCTTTATAACTGGAAACAAGGAAAATATACAAGAGATAAGAAATTAGATCCAGACCATCTCATTTCTCTCCTTCCTTTTGTGGTCAAATTTCTTTTATGAACAATATTCAGCTACTGCCTGTATTTCCTCATTGTTTATCCTCTCTAATCCCCTGAAATTTGATTCTGCCCCCACTTTTACATTGAAAAGCATCTTTGGAGGTCATCAACAAACTGCTTATTAGCAAATCAAACAGCTGTTTCTCATGCTCATCCTTCACGTCTGTGGCATCTAATTCTGCTGACTGCCTCCATCTTAAAACTCTTGATTAGCATGACACCATATTATTCTGCTTTCTTCCTCTCTCTAAGTTTTTCTCTACTGTTTTTTAACTGTGGTCTGTCCCTAAGCCCTCTTTATAAAGTACTTTCCACAGAGTTCAACTCTGTTTCAAGGATCACCTTTATGCTGATAAATAACTTTCTAATAAAATACATATATACAGTTCCTAGAAAGAAAGGCAAGTGTCGGTCACAAGGCCAGCCTTAATTTCTTTCCATTCCGGTTGCTCTAACGCTAGACTTAGATTATTCCAAGAATCTTAATTGGTCTTCCCTCTGCTAGCTCTCCCCACTCTAAGCCGTTCTGTCTTCCTAAAACACCCACCACCATTAATTTTTCTAAAATACTCACTCACCATGATACTCTCCTACTTAAGACCCCTACTCCCACACCATGTTTAAAACCAAACTCCTAACCTGGCATTAGAGAACCACTATCATCTGATCATACCATCTCACCCTTCCTACCCAGTTCTGCCTCTAGTCATACTAATTTTCCCTCTTGTGTTCCACAGAAGCCATGGTCTATTCTTGGGGACTTGGTAAAAGCTATTTCCCTCAATTGGGGTGTTTGCCTTTCTTTATTCTAAATACAGTACTCTGTTTCTAGCTTAAAGCCAGTCTTCTCTCCAAGAAATCTTCCCAGACCATTTCAGTTCAAACCGATCTACTTCCTGAACTACTTGAGCATTTTTGGAACACCACGTTAGCACATAGCTATATAGTGTCTTTATACTATTCACTAGCTATTTCATATATGTCAGAGTTTCTCAAGCATGGCACTATTGACATTTTGGAACTGATTCTTCTCTGTTGTGGGGAGGATTGTACTGTAAGATGTTTAGCAGTATCCCTGGCCTCTACCCACTAGATGTCAGTAGCACCCCTCCTCCACAGCTGTAACAACCAAAAATGTTTGCAGGTTGTTGAGAAGCACTGATTATATAAATCTTATTTCTCTGACAATAATTGTTCATTTGGTATGAGACCTAGGGACTAGAAGAGCTTAAAGCAAACAGCTGGGTGGTCCACCCATATTTCAAGACTGGGAGGTGAGAAGGGCTTCCTAGAAAAATAGGAAATTTGAGATTTATCTGTCTGCTTGGGAACATTGCACTTGGGGAGAAATGAAACCATCCTTTATGGAAGTTTCAGCATTTAGACATTCCAGGAAGTGGAATTAGAATTCTCTGAAGTGATTTTCACAAGAAAGAAAGAAAGAAACCACTATACTCAGAGATTGTATAATGGACAAAAATACAGTGCAACTCAAACCCTTCACAATTACACCAAAAGTTACAGGCATTCTGTCTGAATACAAACATTACTTTGGTGCCTCGGGATTGAAACCCTAAAATTTCATGTTATATTACCACCAAAGGAGACTCTAGGAAATTAAAAATTGGCAAAATTTTGTTTTCACTGGCTTTGCTTCACTCTGTTGACTTCTTTCAGGGGATAAAGATCAACTTAGTTTCCTTGATTAACCATTTCCTCCTAATACCTTAGAACAGCACTGGTGAAGCACAGATTTGTTGTTAAGGCAACACTCTATGTATGAATCTCCTTTCTATGGGTTGCTTTAAAAATAAAGATGCTGGGCCGGCCCCGTGGCTTAGCGGTTAAGTGCGTGCGCTCCGCTGCCGGCGGCCCGGGTTCGGATCCCGGGTGCGCACCGAGGCACCACTCCTCCAGCCATGCTGAGGCCGCGTCCCACATACAGCAACTAGAAGGATGTGCAGCTATGACAGACAACTATGTACTGGGGCTTTGGGGGAAAAATAAATAAATAAAATCTTTAAAAAAATAAAAATAAAAATAAAGATGCTGTCAAAATCAGAGAGATAAATATCTGACCTACAATCAGCCTTTCAGATCCAACAAACAGATCCAACTCTTTTTTCCCAATGGCCTCTGTTTGCTTAATCCCTTGAACATTACTTATTTAACTCTTGCACCTTTAAGTCCCAGGCACAGTAGAATCTGGCTCTGGGAAAATGAGCCTCATAAATTCCCACGGGCTGGGGCCTATTGAGAAAAGGATCGAGAGCCCCAAGTCCTATGATTATAGGGACAGGGTTATTTTTTCCTCTAGCCTACAGTATTCAAAACTCATGCCTCCCTCCTTTCTTTCCACTAAAAGAGAACACTTTGATCAAACGCTCTACTTTCCCATCCTATCTCCAAGGGCAGAATCAAAGGGCCTCACCTGGGTATGGTGCTGAGGTGCTCTGCAAAGAGGCCTGGGGGGTGGGGGTAGCATAACTGTAGGAGGGAGCCACTGGCAGAGGGGTAGCAATCTGGATTTTCCCAGGCCTGTTTACTTGCTGAGTACTAGGCGTAGTACCGGGATCCTCTGATGGCTCAGGCTGGACTGACATATTCTTTAACCAAAGAGGAATCTCTGCAGTCAGGTCTACAGTTAAGGGATTGGAAGTTGTAACTGCCTTGTGGACCTAAAGAAATGCAAAAATTCATTTGAGTAGGCAAAAGTTATACAGCCAGTTTTCTAGGTCATGTCTCATGAAATAATTGCATGTTAAATGTTTTTTAGAAAATGCAAAACTGTCAAAAATATTAAACTAATTTCACCACCCAAAGTCATGTTAAAATATTGACATAAGTCTTCCCAACCTTTTTTTCTATGCAGAGTTTTGCTTAAAACAAAATAGTAATAATCATACTATGTATACTTTTATCTTCTTTTCTCACTTAACATTTATATTTAACCTTTCTACAAATACTTATTGAGCACCTATTATGGAACAGGCCTTGTGGATCCAAAATATTAAAAAAAACATAATCACTGTGCTCAACCAGTGCGCAATCTAGTGGGGGAGAGAGAACTAAACACATAATAAAGCCAAATGGTAAATATACCTATAAAAGTTATGATGAACCAAAGCAACACAATCTTAGGGTACTTATCTCCTCTCTCAGAGAGAGGGAGCATGCGAAGAAGGATGTTTTAAATAAAGGCTTCCTAGAGGAAGAGTCTTGAGCTGAATTTTAAAGGCTGAGGGGAAAGATGAGCATAGGCATGAGAAATGAGATTAACATGGCCTGTGTTGGGAACTGAGAGCCATAAGCAAAGTGAGAAGCAGGAAGTAAGGCAAGATGAGCTGGAAAGACAGTCAAGGGGCAGACTAAGGAAGATGTTATATGCTACTTTAAGTAACCAGGTAATTGTGAGCAATTAAAGGGTTGTATGCAGGGAAGTGACAAGGTCAAGTTTCTGTTTTAAATGGATCATTTAGCGTATCGGTTTGACGAAATAAGACAACAGCAGGAATACCACTTAGGAGGGTACTGTATTTATCCAAATGGCTATCCAAGTGGCTGAACAAGGAGAGTGGTATGGATTTTTTTAAACAATTAATTGAAGTACAATTTACATAAAATAAACTGCACACATTTCAAGTGTTGGTCAATGCATTTTGACAAGTGTATAAACCCATGTAATCACAATCAAGAGAGAAAACATTTCTATCAGCCCCAGAAGTTGATTGATGCCCCTTTGCAGTAAATTCCTGCCTCCACCCACAGGTTCAGGCAACCACTGACTTGTTTTCTGTCACCATTAGTTAGTTTGGGTTTTCTTGTATTTCATATAAAAGTATCATATACATACTATTTTTGTTTCTGGCTGCTTTCACTCAACATAATGTTTTTAAGATTCACCCATGTTATTGTGTATATCAGTAGTTCATTCTTTTTTATTACCAAGTAGTATACTATTATAGAGATACACCAAAATTTATTTATCCATTCATCTATTAATGGAGATTTAAGTTGTTTTCAGTTTTCAGCTCTTATAAATAAAGCTGCTACAAACGTTTGAATACAAATGTTTCTCTAAACATATGTTTTAATTTCTCTTGGGTAAATACTTAGAAGCAGAATTGCTGGTTACATGCAAGTGTATGTTTAACTTTATAAGAAACTGTGAACTGTTATCCAAAGTGGCTGTACCATTTTGCATTTCCACCAGCAATGTATGAGAGTTCCAGTTGCTCCACAACTTCTTCAATATTTTGTATTCTTGGCCTTTTTATTTTTTATCATTCTAATGATATCTCACTGTGATTTAATTTGCATTTTCCTGATGACTAATGAGGTTGAACATCTTTTCATGTGTTTATCGGCCAGTCATATATTTTCTTTGGTGAAATTTATTCAAATCTTTGTCCATTTTCTTTACAATTTTATTAAGGTATAACTGACATACAATAAACTTAATGTATGTAAAGTGTACAATTTGACAAATTTTGACATATGTATACACCTATGAAACTATCACCACAATCAAGATAATGAACATATCCATCAGTTCCAAAGATTCCTCATGCTCCTTTGTAATCTCTTCTCCCCACCCACTTCCCTAAGCAACCACTGCTCTGCTTCCTGTCATTATACTTTGCATTTTCTAGAATTTTATATAACGTGAATCACACAGGATGTAATTTTTTTTGGTCTGGCTTCTTTCACTCAGCAAAATTATTTTGCTATTCATCCAAGGTGCTGTGTGTATTGATAGTTCTTTCCTTATGATTGCTGCGTAGTATTCTGTTGTATGACTATACCACAATTAATTTGTTTGTTCATTCACCAATAGATGGACATTTGAGTGGACTCCAGTTTTTGGCTACTACAAACTGAGCTGCTATAAATATTCCTCTACAACTCTTTGTATGGACATATCTTTTCATTTCTCTTGGGTAAACATCTACGGGTAGAATGCCTGGTCACATGGAACATGTACCTTTAACTTTTTTAAAAACTGCCAAACAATGTTCTAAAATAACTGTTGTGCCACTATATAGTCCCACCACCAGAGTGAGCATTCCAGTTGCTCTACAACCTTGCCAGAATTTGGTGTAGGAAGTCTTTTTAATTTTAGCCATTACTGAGGTGTGTAGTGGCATCTTATTGTGGTTTTAATTTGCATTTTTGTAGTGATTTAATGACGTTGAGCATCTTTTCATGTACTTATTGGACACCTGCATAACTTCTTTGGTAGACTATCTGTTCAAATCCTTTGCTTTGTTGTTAGTTTTCTAATTAAGTTACAAGAGCTCTTTATTATTCTAAGAACAAGTCCTTTGTTAGGTACTTTGCAAATATATGCAGCTTGCCTTTTCATTTTCCTTAACGGTGTCTTTTAAATAGCAAATCTTTGTAATTTTGATGAGCTCCGATTTATCAATTTTTTCTTTTATGGCTGATGCTTTCAATGACTTATTTATTTAGTGACAAGATGACAAGAATGCTCTCCTGTGTTTTCTTTTACAAGTTTTATAGTTTTTAGCTCTTAAATTTAGGTCTATGATCCATTTTGAGCGAATTTTTCTGTATGGTGTGAGGTAAGGGTTAAAGTTCATGTTTTTCCATAGCACTATCCAATTGTTCTAGCACCACTTATTGAAAAGATTAACCTTTCCCCACTGAATTGCCTTGGCACACTAATTGACTATATTTGTGTGGTTCTATCTCTGCACTCTATTCTGTTTCATTGATTTAGTCTATCTTTACACCAATACCACTGCTTTGATTATTGCAGCTTTATAAAAAGTCTTAGGGGCTGGCACAGTGCCGCAGCGGTTGAGTTTGTGCATTCCGCTTCAGTGGCCCAGGGTTCGCCGGTTCGGATCCTGGGCGCGGACCTGCTCACCACTCATCAGGCCACGCTGAGATGGCATCCCACATAGAAGAGCTACAACTCTACAACTATGATACACAGCTATGTACTTGGGCTTTGGGGAGAAAAAAGAAAAAGAAGAAGATTGGCAACACGTGTTAGTGCAGGGCCCATCTTCCTCAAAAAAAAAAAAAGTCTTAAAGTTAGATAGTTTAAGTCCTCCAACTTTATTGTTCATTTTCAAAATCATTTTGATCATTCTAAGTCCCAATTCATGAACGTGGCTGTATTAGTTTCCTAGGGCTGCCATAACAAATTACCACAAACTTGGTGGCTTAACACAACAGAAATTTATTCTCTCACAGCTTTAGAGGACAGAAGTACAAAATTAAGGCATTGGCACATTCCCTCTGAAGGCTTTTGAGGAGAATCCTCTTCCAGCTCCCAGAGCCTCTCAGCATTCCTTGGCTTGTGGAAACATAACTCCAATCTCTCTCTCCATCTTCATATGGCCTTCTTCCTCGTGTCTCTGTGGGTCCAAATCTCCCTCTCCTTCCTCTTGTAAAGACATCAGTGATTAGACTTAGGGCCCACCCTAAATACAGGATAATTTCATTTCAAGATCCTTAACTAACTACATCTGCAAAGATCCTATTCCCAAATAAGGTCATATACTGACGTTCCAGGTAGACATGATTTTGGAGGGGGCACTATTCAATCCATTTTAATGGTATATCTCTCCATTTATTCAGTTCTTTAATTTCTCTCAGTAGTGTTTTATAGTTTTCAGTATATAGCTCTTGCACATATTTTGTTAAATTTATCCCTAAGTATTTCATGTTTTCGGATGCTATAATACAGTTTTTAAAACTTCAATTCCAAATTATTCATTGCTAATATAAACACAACTGATCTCCAAAAATTGTTCTTATATCCTGCAACCTTGCTAAATTCACTTAATAGTTTCACTTGCTTTTATGTACATTCCTTGGAATTTTCTAGGTACATGATTATATCATCTGTGAATAAAGGCAGTTTTGCTTCTTCATTTCCAATCTGTATTCCTTTAATTTCTTTTTCTTGCATTACCATATCAGCTAGGACCTCCAGCACAATGTTGAATAAAAGTGGTTAGAGACACTATTTGTTGAGTAATTGTCATCTCACTCTCCTTTAAATCTCTGAACACAGATTCCTTTTTTTTAAGCATATTTTTAATACCTGCATTGAAGTCTTTGCTAAATCTGACAACTGAGTCCACTCAGAATTCAGTTCTATTGATTACTTTTTTTTTCTCTGAGTATGGGTCACACTTTGCTGATTCCTTTTTTGCATGTCTCATAACATCTAGTGGAAAACTGGAAATTTCAGATAATATATTGTAGCAACTCTGGATTCTGTTTTACTTTTCTGCTGGGCTGTTGATTATTTTTAGTAACTTCCCTGTACTATAGAATCTGACTCCCCCACAGTATGTTGCCATTGATAGCTCTGTTCAGTTTTTTTTTTACTCCTGTTTTTATTTTAGCCCAGCTTCCTAGGTATCACCCCTGTATCTGCATAGTTTAGCAGTCAGCCAATGATTTGGGCAGAAGTCACTCAAATACTTTGAGCCCATAAAGCTTCACCCTCTGCCAATCCATCTGTGTGTTGCTTGGGGAATGCATTCAAAGTTGCAGCCAATTCTCAAGTCTCCCTTGATTTTTACCTTTTACCAGGCTCTCTTGGGTCTCTCTTGCACATGCAGGTAGTTTCTCAGTCATGTGGAGAGCTTATCTTAGCCCTTCTACGGCTCTCTTATTTTCAGGATCTTCCCATTAAGTTTCTGGCAGGTCCACCA